ACTCTTTGCTTAAAAATAAAAAAAAATAATAATAAAAAAATAAATAAAAAAGCAATAAATAGCTTCTGGGGAGAATATTCCAACAAAAAACTAAGAGAACTGATCAGTGGCGCGATCCGAAACTATAGTCATCCCTGCCTTACCCCTCGGCGGACAATGCCATACATTCTCCACTAATAAAAAGTTGTTTTTTATAAAAAACAACAAACTGGGATTCAGCCTGACTTATTATTTTATTTAGTTTTTATTATTTTGTTAAGCCCAACCATTTTTTTAGAGTGTATAAACGGTTATGGATATAAACCAAACTCAATTCATTTCCTGATTTTTAAATAATTTATTTAATTTTTTTCCATTTTTTCTGTATTATTTATATTTATTTATTTTAAATACATTTTTATTTTATTTAAATTAAATTATTATTTGGTTTTATTTTATTCTTCATTTTATTCCAATTTTTTCATATAAAATTATATTAAAATTATATATTTGTATGTATATATGTTAATTTTATTTAATGTTTTATTCCTCAGAATAGAATTTCCTTTGAGCCAATGGATTTCTTTCCCATTATAAAGAGAAATAAACGTTTAGTTAATAAAATCCCTTCTTAATTGCACTCTTTGATTTAGTTGTGTATATTTTCTCTTATTCACCGCTAATCTTCTCAGTGACACTTTCCCTGAGTTCTCATCTATCACTAAGGCATTAATTGTTCTCTGCTAATTGTTGTGTTGTGTTGCTGATTTTTTGCCGATTTTTAAAAATACAAATGCCGATTATGCCGATTTTTTTCTGAAAAATTTACGATTTTTCATGAAATTTAACTGGCAGCACTGCCAACACTGTCATACACACACACTGTTCGTCGTCTCTCGGTCTTTTGCCGACTCTTGTAGTTTTGTTTACTACTATCACTGCTGTCGTTGATGTTGTTATTGTTGTTGTTATTATTATTCAATTGTTTAGCATTCATTGTGCCGGAAGCATTCAACACTTAATTATTGTTTTATTAAGGTGATACGTTAGGAGAATTGTTGTTATTGCCGCTACTGTGACATCGTTTGTCCATTTGGTGATCGGGGAGAGTTATATACAAATTTAAAAGAGAGTTTAGAAAACAGAGATTTTAAATAAATTTATTCAATTTTTTATTAATTTTTTAAATCATAAAAATAATTTAATATTGGATTAAAGAAAATATATTATTAAGAAATAAAAAGAAAAACCTCAAAAACTCGAGATAATTGGACCTTTTTTAATAATATAAACAACTAATGAAAGGAGAATATTCCCTAGAGCTTTATGGGTATAGGACAATGGTGGGCAAAATGTCTCTAAAAAATTTTTAAGGGGAAATAAAAACAAGAATTATTCAGCGGAATTTATTTAATTTAATATTTTTAAAACATAAATAACATCCTAGGAAGTTAAAAAAATCATTAAAAAATTTTTGAAAATTTTTCATTAAAGTTTATTTTTGTTTTAACATCAAAAATTGTTAAGAGAACGCATCAACGCTGATGTGCAAGTCTGCCCAACTGTGGTATAGGAAGTTTTCTGGTGTACAATTGTATGGCAAATTCATACGTCATTAGACAGATCCCCTTCTACAGAATATTCCCTAGGAGTAAAGCGTATAGGACATTTCCAGTTGTAAAATTTTAGAGCAAATACATCCGCCTGTAGACAGATGCGCCCTTTTATAGGTCTACATGAAACCATCAGCTAGTCTTCTACAAGAGCGGATATTGAGGACCATAAAACACACTCTTTTTACCTTTTTGATCACTCACTGAAAACTTGAGGTTGTCCTTTTTGTCTTTTAATTCACAAATTACTAGTCCTTTTTTTCTCTGAGTGTAAAATGTTTACAACAATGTATTACTTTAATTATTTCATTATAAAGAATTTTTAACTTCTCCTTCTTACCCCTTCTTCATCAACTAATTGAATTGAAATGTTTAATTTCTGTGTGTGAAAATTCTAAATGTTATTCCCTAGATAATGTTGTCGGTGGCTCTTCTCCTTCGTTTTTCCTTTTCCTTGGGGAACAAGTAATAATCTTTTTCCTCAAGAAACTTGTATACATTACAATGATGAAGAAGGTTGATCTCGTCGGCGACGTTGGCGGTACAGAGACATCATAAAACGTCAACATGAATTACAGTGGATTCCTGGAAACCATTACTTCTTGAATGAGGAGCTACTCTCCTGTGGGAACAAATCGCTTCATCAAAGGAATAGTTTTGAAACAAAAAATAATGAAATGTCTAAAACTTGTTAAACGATCGTGGAAAACTAACTAGAATTTGTTAACAGAGGCATACTATTTTTTAAAAAATATTTATATTGAAAACATAAACAATTTAAAAGTGAAGTTTTCTAAATAATTAAAAAAATTAAATGACTGTATGACAGACTTGATTATGTTAATTAAATAATATGTAATAAATTTTGAAAGAGATTTACATTTATTTTTGGTGTAATATTTAATTTTATTTGTTTAATTTAAGTTTGTCATTTCACTTGTTGTTACCAAATGATTAGAATTTTTATAGTTGTATGAATTAATTTTTAATAATATTCATACTGACAATTTCAATTCCACATTATATGGTCTCTTCTTTTGCATATTCAATATTTTTATTTTTTTCATATTATATCCAAAAAATATGTTTATTCATAATAACCACAACAACAACTTGTTGCTGCTGAACGCCCAAAAAATATCCACAATCAAAAAAAAACTGAAATACCTACAACTTATTAACCAGACAAGTTGGCTAGGGCGGTTTGTTGTGTCTGTCTGCCTTTTTCGGTTTGGTGGACGGAAATTGTAGAACAAAAACAAATGGCAATGCCAAAAAAATGTACTAAAAACAACAACTACATTTTCATTCATCAGTCTACCCAAGTGTCCAGCTGGACCATATGGTTGTTGTGTGTGTCGGTTTTTTTTTCATTAAGTAGAAATATCACAAACATGGAAAACTTGCCAAAAATAAGAAATAGTTTTTTTACCGGTTTTTTATTTTCATGTTTTGGCCAGTTTCCAGACTGCCACGCGCATTCAATATATTTTTGGATTCTTTGTTTTTGCTTTATAACCCAAAAATAAATTAAAATTTATTTTTATTCATACTTATTTTGTTAATAAATTTTCATAGCGAATATATATTTTTGTTGTAGTCAATTTATGAATGGAGTTTTTATGGAGGATTGGAAGGAAATAAAATTGAAAAAATATGTATTTGAGAAAAATGAAAATTAAATATGAGAAAATAAATTTTAAAAACGTAAACCAAATTAGAGCCAATTGGTTAAACAAATCTGCCCAAAATACCAAATTGCAGCCAATGATGGTGCCATTATATGAAGGCGACCCTGAAACGATATTGATAACTTTTTGTGGGAAGATTTTCTACCCAGTGAGATCCCAACATATCAAATTACAGACAATTCGGTTAGATAACATGGCCTAAATCTGCAAAATATCGAATATTGGGAAGTACCGTTATATGGTACCTCCCTAAAAATTGAATCGATATTAATAATTTTTGTTATGGAGATGTTCGATCCCATGAGAACCCAAATACCAAATTACAGCCGATTCGATTGAAAAACATGATCCAAATTCCCATAATACCGAATAGTGGGACCTATCCTGAAACTTGGACTGATATTGATAATTTTTGGTGGACAGATGTTCTATTCAATGACAACCCATCTTACCAAATTACAGAGAATTCGGTTGAAAAATATGCCCAAAATACCCATGGGGGCTACCCTGAAACTTAAGCCAATATTTATCATATTTGGTAGGGAGATGTTTCATCCAACAAGAACCCAAAATACGAAATTACTGACAATTCGGTTGAAAAACATGCCCAAAATTCCCAGAATACCGAATAATGGGAGGTACCGTCATATGGGATGTACCCTGAATATTGTACCGATATTGATAATTTTTGGTAGGAAGATTTTCTGCCTAAAGAGAACCCATCTTACCAAATTACAGACAATTCGATTGAATAACATGCCAAAAATCCCCAAATAATCGAAATTTGGGATGCGCTTTTATATAGGGGGCTACCCTGAAACTTTTACCAATATTACTAATTTTGGCTAGGAAGATGTTCTACCCAATGATAATCCTAAATTGCAAATTACAGACAATTTGCTTCAAAAACAAGCTCAAGCACCTCAAAATCTCTAAATTATCGAAATTTGGGAGGTGACTTTATATGGCAGCTACCCTGAAACTTGGATAGATATTGATAACTTTTGGTAGGAAGATGTTCTATTCAATGATAATCCAAATTGCAACCAATTTAATTCAAAAACAAGCTCAAGCACCCCAAAATCCCTAAATTATCGAAATTTGGGGATACCTTTATATGGATATTGATCATTTTTGGTGGGGAGATGTTCAGCCCAATGATAATCCAATACATCCCATTTTGCTCAAAACTCAGTTCAAGCTCCCCTAAATATTGAAATTCGGTATATACCGCTATATGGGGGCTACACTAAAAACTGCATCAATATTGATAAATTTTTGTAGGAAGATTTGCTACCAAAAGAGCACCTTATACAACAAATTACAGCAAATTTGGTTCAAAAACATATACAGGATTCGGAATATTGGGGATATTGTTCTCTGGAGGCTACCCTGAAACTTGGGCCAATATTGATATTTTTTTGTATAAAGAATTGCTACCCAATGAGTATCCAAAATGCTAAATTACAGTCAATTCGATAGAAAAACATGTCCAAAATCACCAAAATATGAAATATTGGGGGATACCGTTATATGGGAGCTATACAACAAATTGGACCGATATACCGCATTTTCAATACCAAACATCCTAGGAGTATTAGCAATGAATGTGCAAAATTTCCAAGCTCTATTTTAAATATTATTTAAATATTAAATATACTTCAAAAGTTCCTAATCACATTTTTTCCTAATAAAATGTTTCGTTTTTTCTTCTCCTTTTTTCAGAGGCAAATTTGCCGCTGTACGCCGGGCGATACACAAAAATTCTGGAGTTCATTTTGCAGCCAAATTTTTAAAGCGGCGGCGACGTGCCCAATCATCCGACAAAGAAATTAAACATGAAATCGCCGTATTGATGTTATGTAATGATGCCGATAATATTGTCAAATTAAATGCTGTGCATGAATCACGTTCAGATACAGCGCTATTATTAGATTTGTGAGTATCCCGAATTTTATTTTTCCTCGAAAGAAGTTGCAAAATTAATTCCCTATAACTCCCCTTCCGTTTTTTCTAGAGCGACTGGCGGTGAATTACAAACATTTCTAGACAATGAAGAATGTCTGAACGAGGCCCAGGCACGCATCTGTATGCGTGAAGTACTTAAAGCATTACAATTTTTGCACAAACGATCAATTGTCCATTTAGATTTAAAACCACAAAATATTCTATTAAGCGGAGAACGTATTGAAGGTGAGTATGAGAATATCTTTACACTCTACAAATTATATATAAATATATATGTTTGCAGATGGTCTTAAATTGTGTGATTTTGGCATTTCACGCGTTGTTACCGAGGGTACCAATGTCCGTGAAATTGTTGGCACTCCCGATTATGTGGCCCCCGAAGTCTTACAATATGAACCCTTGTCCCTGGCCACCGACATATGGTCGGTGGGTGTATTAACCTATGTCCTACTGTCCGGCTTTTCACCATTTGGCGGTGAAACGAAACAGGAAACCTTCCTTAATATATCACAATGTGCACTAACATTTCCGGATAAATTATTTGGAGGCGTCTCATCGGCAGCCATTGATTTTATACGCAAAGCATTGCGAATAAAGCCAGGGTATGTAATGACTCTTTTTTTTTTCTTTTTTCAAATGTTATATAATTGATATTTAAATTCGTTTTTTTTTTTGGTTACAGAGATCGCATGACTGCTGCAGGATGTCTCGAACACATTTGGCTTAAAGACGAATGTAGCATCGATAGACATATTTTCAATAGTAAACACAGCAATAAGCAGCAATTGGAACACGATGACGAAGACGTTGACGACGATGACGATTTAGTTGATGACGATGAGGTCGAGGATAGCAGTGATGATCATGCCGCAACTGTTGAAGTAGATGCAGATGTGGTAGCAGATCAACAACAACAAGTTGTTGATTTATCACATAACGGCAGCAGCATTGCCGAGGATCATCATGAGGTAGTAGTTGAAGAAATAGGAAATGTTCATGATAATGATAAACCCCAGGCAATAAGTGTAGACAATTCCGAAGAAGAAGAAGAAATTGACACTACCAACAACCACACAAATCAGGCAACCACCACCAATAACACTACTTATCAAAAATACAATAACACAAATGGCCAAACAAATGGTTACAACAACACCACATCATCATCATCTAGCACAATCAACTCAAACACCTCGATCAGCAGTAATGGTCATGCCAGGAACTATTTAAATGGTCAAATTAATGGTCATGCAAATGTTATGTCTAATGGCCATGGATCTTCTCCAAATGGTTACAGTAAAATTTCAAATGGTGTAACAACAATGTCCTCATCTCTGAAGTCGTCTCCCAAATCAATGACCACCACCACCACAATTAATAATCATCAGGTACATCCCACAACCAAAACAACTGTGGTCCATAACGTGCCAGCAGCAACAAAGGCCATTACCATACCCTTAAGTAATGTACAACAGCAACAACATTTCACCACAACGACATCGACAACAACACCTCCAGATCAACAGCAACAACAACAGCAATTTCTTCACATACCAGCCAGACGCCAGTCGTCCGATTCCAATAAAGAAAACACCTTTCTAACTACCAAGAAAATTTCACCCTCCACCAACTCGAGCAGTAGCAACAGCATGGATTTTGCTGTAACCAGCAACGGCATTAAGAAACCCCATTTAACAGTTACACAACAAGCCAATACCACAACAACAGCAACAATACTTATCAATCCCACAGCAACAATGGGCAATTCTTCTTCTAATATTGTGGCCACCATAACCCTACCCCCAAATGCTGCAATTGCAGCAGCATGTAACAATTCCAACACATATTCCGCCACAGTAACAACAGCATCCCCAGTAACCCTAAATGTTGTTAATAACACAAATATTGCTTCAACAACAACTAATGGCACCAACAACAACAATAGCCACCACAATTCTTTTTTCCCAGATGCTCCTACTACACCCAAAGTTATACGCAAGGCACCAAATTCGGACACATCTCCCACCTCGGTTAAGGCTTTAGTGAAGAAATTCCAATTGGAGGGTGGCGAACAGCCAATGAACCCACCAGAATTTGCCACGAACGGCGGTTGTGGCAGCGGCGGCGTCGGCAACGGCATTAAGCCAGCAACCACCACGATCACCTCCCCAACGACGATGAAAACAAACGAAACGAAAACGAAATTCATCAATGGCAGACCATCGTTGCAAAACAATCCCACGAATCAACATTCATCGACGGCCATTTCATTGAGACGAGCCTCCGAACCCATAACGGCCATACACAACGGCAAGAAGCTGAGCAGTACAACAGCCACATCAGCAACAACTGGTCCTGTTTCTGTGCCACCACCATTATTGGCCAGCAGTAATAATTTGAAAACACAGTGTGTTTATTGTAATTCCTGTAATGCCGTTACAAATGCGGCTGGCGTTACAACAATAACGGCAAACAATGGATGCAGGCATCCCTCGTCCACACAAGGAGCAGTATCAGGATCTGCAAGTAGTACGCTACACAAGAATGGTGTTGCCTCACCCTTTAGCCACAGTACCAAATCCTTGATCAATGGCGGTAGCAGCAGCAATGGTAGCCTTACCAGTTCCAGCAGTAATGCCACCAACAGCTCAACAACATCATCAAATGCTTTACTATTTGCTGGTAGCAACAACACCTCACAACATTACCACTCGCATCTTCATCAGCATCACCAACACCACGCACATCATCATCACCATCATTCGCTGCATCATAATGGTGTTGTTGGTAAGAGTGCTGGCGCTGCCACAAATGGTTTGAGTTTAGATCAGGGTATTATCTGTTAGCTAAGGGCCTCTAGGGCGCGAAGGAATGCCAAAAGTTTCTTTCATCGTTTCTTGTGTTGCATGTAGTATAGGGAGAATAAAACGAGCATTAATAAGAATATAAATAATAATAATCATAATAAAAACAACAACCACAACAATAAATATAGTAATTTTAGTAGTTATAAACATTATTATTATAATAATTATTTAACGAAAAGAAAAAAGTATTTTAGTTACTTTTTATGTTGTACAGAAGATGGTGGCGGTGTAGCCTATGAAGAATTTGTTTAGTAGACTATATATAGAGATGTGGATGGTTGTCTTCTGGCCTAGAAAAAAATTAATGGATATTCCCCTATAAAAAAAAGAACAAGTGTAAAGGTTTTGTTTGGAATGTAAAATGAGCAACGAAGGAAACAATTTTTGTCATTCATTTGGTTAAGCCTTTTCTTAATTTACAAATGTAATCCCATTCAATGGCTGTTAACTGATTGAAGGACATGTTGTTATTGTTGTTCTTTTTGTTTATAAGGATTTATTAGGCAGTATTATAATAAAGGAAAATAATAATAATTTACCTTAGTTTGGGTAAATTCTAATAAATGAAATCAATATAAATGAGTACAGGAAGAGGATATTTAAAGGTATATATACTCTATATTCTTGTAATAAATTCTGTGGCAAACTATCCCAAGTTCCCTTTATAAAAACCTTAAAAGAGAGAAAGGGAACATTTGAAAATTTTCAAAAGTAAATTTAATGGTTAGTAGGGAGTTATAAAAGCAACCGCCTATGTCAAAAAATATTTTTCATGCGCAAAAAATTAAAAATAAACTCAAACCAGAATTAAAGAAAATTACAAATTCATCCTGATGCACATCGCATGAATATGAAGGAGTAAAAAATTTTAAATATCAATGATTAAAAAAGAAAAATATAGGCTTCAATTTAAAGTGGTATTAAACGTATAATCATGCAGACTTCAATTTAAAATGGGTTCCAAATATAAATGGCGAGTGAAATTTTACATCTAGCTTTTTATTAAAAGATTTAAATTATTTCAACAAGTATATCTTTCTTGCAACATTCCAGTGGAATCAATTTTTGTTTTATGAAAATCTAAAATGGATATTTTGAGTTTATTAATGATTTAAAAAAATAATTTTCTTTTACTTTTTTGTTTGTTTTATATGTTATAACAAATTAAAAAAGTATATTTATTATAAAACGAAAATGTGGTTCCAGTATTAGAATATATGAGTCGTTTATTTTGAAAGTGGTTTAAGTCCATTGTAGGTTCTGATACAAAGCTTGGGTTTCTGGTAATGTTTACAAAACAAATTACGTTATATGTATATTCTAATATGTTTAAGGGCACAAAACCACAAACAAAATTAATACCACTTAACAATATTTTTTTTAAACAAATCAAACCCTTAATTATTTCAAAATTACAAAAAACGGACTTAAACCACTTTCAAAGTAAACGAATCATATATTTTCTTTTATAAAAATTCTAAATATTAAATGTCAAATTATTCCATTTGAAATTCAATACGAAATATTTTTGTACTCATAAAGTCCCCATAGCCATATTGCTACTACCGATAAACACACAAGTGTTTGAGATTTCAAAAATAAATTCTTGGAAATTTTCCAACATTACAATGTTTAATTTACATTAGGAAATTGTTCATTTGGTAATTTTCAGTTTTTTAAAAAATATCTTCAGATCAACAACAACAATTTCTTCACATACCAGCCAGACGCCAGTTGTCCGATTCCAATTAAGAAAACACCTTTCTAACTACCAAGAAAATTTCACCCTCCACAGCATTGATTTTTGGTTTGACCAGCATCAACAACGGCATTAAGAAACCCCATTTAAATGTTATACATCAAGTCAATTCCACAACCACAGCAATGGACAGTTCTTTTTCGATATCCTTACCCTACCATGTTGTTGTTGTAGCAACCCTATTGTTTTTACACAATGGTCTGAAGTGACAGATCTTGGTCGAGAAAGACTCAGGTTGTTTTGGATCGTAGACTGATCCGTTGTGAAAATGCCCTCCCATGTAGATGTGATTGGATTGGCAATCCACCGCAATTCCTTCACCAAAAAAACCACAGCATTGGGCAATTATTTTTCCGATATTGTGGCCAACATAGCCTTATCCTCCCATGTCGTTGTTTTTGTAGCAACCCTATTGTATTTACACAATGGGCTGAGGTGAGAGACCTTGGTCGGTCGTTTTGGATCCTAGACCCCTCTGTCGTGGAAACGCCCTTCTATGTGAATGGGAAAGTTGAAGGTTTATCAATTCACCTGAATTCCTTCATCGCAAATACTTTTATTAGAAAGTATTTTTAGTGAGAAAAATATTCAGTTGTTAGCATTGGTAAAGGTAAAAAATGATTTAACAATTCTGTTGTTAACTTATACTCACTAACATCGAATTGTGGAATTTTCAATCAGAATGCTTTATAAATCCCCATAAAAATATTGTTCAATCCCTTGAAATAGAAAAGTTTCCACGATATAAATCTTCTTCATTTTTGACACTTTTTGGTCGAACTGATGCTCCTTTACCATTTTTTCCTTTTGGTCCATGAACTCTCATCAAAAAATAGTGTCCCTTTTGTCGAATCAAGACTCTTCCACTTTTTAAATCTCCATAAAAATATTGTTCAATCCCTTGAAAGAAGAAATAACGTTTTTTCTTGTCGAACTGATGCTTCTCCAATATTTTTTTCCTTCTTGGTTCATGACTTCCCGTCATAGTTTTGGCACGAAAATATGGAATCACTTCCCTGAAGGTGAAAAATAATCGTCTCTAATTGGTAGACGTAAGGGAATTTTATATAGGTTTTGGACAAATTTGATTCTTCATTATCCCCTTTTCTTGTCGAACTGTTATTTCTCTGCCATTTTCCCTTCTTGGCCAATGAATTCTCATCAAAAAATAGGGTATCTGCTGTTACGAAAATTTGGTTTCTCTTGCTTGGAAGGGAAAAAAGAAATCTTTGATTTTTAGACTTAATTGAATTTCAAATGGGGAGTCTCGTGCATTTCTATTGGATATCAAATGGAATACTTTTAGTTTCAATGATTTAAATTCTCAGATTTTAAACTTTAAATAAGCATCTTTAAATTTAAAAAAGAAAATGCTGTTATTTTTAATTTTTTTTTGTCGTCAGTATGCCTGCTTTATTAAAATTTTAAATTATTTAATAAAAACTCTCTCTTCGAAGTCCGTTGCCCCAAATCGTATTCGGTATTGGAGAACCTTCCTTTAAATGTTTGAATAATATTTGAAGATTGCCTCCCATTTACATGAATTGTATTTAATCGAAAAATCCCATATTAAAAAATTTACAACAAACTTTAGCTGGTTTACTAAAGTGTGTTGGAACCGATCATGGCCTTGTGACTAGGTTCCCATTCATGAAGAAATAAATAAATTGAAATTGGAAGTAAAAAAATAGAAAAAAATCCTTACTTATTTTCAAACAAACAAATTACACTTTTTTTATAAATAGGAAATATTCAAAGGCCTAAATATATGAAGGACAGCTCATCCCAACAAAATTCTATTCATGGTAATTAAAATCGAAAAAAAACAAACTAGATTGAGTTGATAATAATTGGTAAAAGAAAAAAGTTAAAAGCTAGTTACGAAGTGTAAAATAGTTAAAACAAATTAGTAATTGATTAGTAATTCAAAAAAAGGAATACAAGAAAGAAAACAGTATGTACTTTTAAAAACAAAACTTTCTCTTTTCCCCTTATTACAAATCCCACCAACACTACCCCCTTATCCTTTTCTGATAATATTCCTTTTTATATTTAAAAATAAAAACATATCAAAATTCCCTTTTTATGTTTTATTTAAACTTCTTGTGATCACAATTTTCCCCTTATTCTAAAAAAAATCCCACACCCTCCCCAAAAAAATTTTCCTAAAGGTCTCTATATTTTGTGATTTCATCTATTCTTATTATTTTTTATTATTATAATTATAAAATTCGTAGTTTCTATTTTTCTATATAATATTAATTTTTGTTATTTAAAACATAATTAATTTTTCGTCTATGTTCTTTTTTTAAGCTTATCAAACAAATTTCAAGATTTCATTTAGATATATTTAATTTTGTCTTATTTTTTAATTTACATAAAAATATTATTAATATTGCTTTCTTTGGAGTATAAAATCCCGCCCTTAATTTCATTTCAATACTACCCCCAACCCCAATTCATTTTTTTTAATATAACTTTATATATTATATATTTTTTTATTTTAAATAAGTTTATGTTGTGTACTGTACTGCTTAATGTTTGTCATTCATTATTCACTTGTATTGTATGTCTGCAAAGTATTCCAACACGAAAATAAGGAAAACTTTATAATTATTATGATAATTTTTGGGAATTCTTAAATAAAATAATACCACAAGGAAAGAACAACAACAAACAAAACTATGCTGTTACTAAACTAAACAAATTAATAAAAAATAAATTCAGAATTCACCCGTAGATAAAACTTATGATTGCTAGCAGTTTGAAACTGCTGCTACATATAACGCCTCATTTAAAACAGAGTTTTTATTTTCTTATAGGTGAATTCCCTAATAAAAAAATTAAATTAAAAAAATAAAAAATATTTTTTTTGTTTTTAATTTTTAGCTAATGTTAAAATAATTCAAATTTAAATTAAAAAAGTTGTTAAAAAATGTCATTGAAAAAAAAATAAAACTATATTATATAGGCCTACTATATATGTATACCATACATTAATTAATTTATAAATTTAAATAAAGATAATTAAACAAAAATACAAAAAAAATAAAATTTTGAAAAAAAATATAGTTTTTAGTAATCCCAATTCTTATTTTCTTTTCGATTTAAGTTATATCCCAACAATTACACTAATTATTAATTACTATAAATATAATTATTATTATTTTGCTGAATGCTGAAGTTTTTAAAAAGAAAAACGTTATACAAATAAAAAACAATTTAAACACTGAAAAGAACTTAATAAAAATTTATTAAAAACAAAAAATAAACTGTCATTTTTTTAATTTAATTTACAAACACTATATTGTATATAAATTTTCAATGTTATAATA